AATTGGTTCAACCATAGAATAAAAATAAATAAAATAAAATAAACCTGTAAAAAAAGAAATAACTTACTTTTCTAAAACGAAATTTACAGTGAATGAATGGAGTAGTAAACGAAGTGAGTGTAAAAACTTATTTATATATTTTAGATCTTATCATACACCCCGGTTTATGCTCGATTATTATATCGTGTAACAGTTATCTATAAATGTCGTCATTATCATGTGATAAAACTATATTTATAAATACGCGTTTTTTTTCAATAAATATCTCTGCTCTGTGTCGCTACTAATATATATAAATATCTCTCTTTAACGCTAAACATTTCTCTCAACAAAATGAATGGTAATGCTAATGTAGGTGGTAATGTCGGTGGTAACGGTAACGTAGGTAAGTAAGATTTTAGTGTATGTAGCAGTTTTCAAGCTTATTAATGGCCATTACTGTCATTTCAGTACAACTATCACCGGAGCAACAAAAAGTTCTCGATAGTTTGAATCCGAGGCAAAGAAGGATATATGATGCTACGCCAGGAAAAGTTGATTTTCTAGAAGGAATTTTAGAAGATCGTAAAAAATCGGTACATTTATTAATATTAAAATGGTTATTTTATTTTGTTATACTTCACACTTACACTGACAAGTTCTTTCGTCGGTTTCTATTCCCTATGAAACCATACAGGAAGTCGGATGGGAACTAATGTCTCTTTCAATTTACACAATAACCACTATTGTTGTTACTTTTGTAAATGCACGATATTTTAATAGTGAAGATTCAACAAAAACCTTTGTCATAATTATAAATAGTGTTTACTACGGAATCAAGTCAATTATTGTGGGAATAAAGTTAGAACGTGATGGTCTAATTTATAATAAATATAACGATCTTATTATTATTTCACCAATCATCATAGGAATTGTTATTGCGATTTTATTGGGAATTTTCGTCGTATCACCAACAATCACAAATTCTTTCGTAAATGTTGGGCTGGAGATGTCGAAGTTCGCCATTCTATTGATTGGTCGCTAATCCAAAGATTCGGACATTATTGATTGCTCACTATTCCAAGGATTCGGATATTTACTACTAGCGCACAATACACAATACAAATTGCTTGAAATTGCTTTTAATGTAACCAACACCCGTAAATTGCTTTTAATGTAACAAATACCTGTAAATTGCTTTTAATGTAACAAACACCTGTAAATTGCTTCAAACATTTGTAAATTGCTTGTAATGTAGCTACACACGATTAATTGCTTTATTTAGAGGATGACGCGGGGTTTGATTAAGTATTTTGATTCAATGCAGAATCTCAAAAATCTTGTATGAAGAAAATGCGCGTACCATTTACATCTCAGGTAAGTACTCCGCTTACATCTCGAACTTTAACAACATCCAAAGCCTCTCCTAAGCGATTAAAAGTGTTCAACTCTTCCCAGCTACCAAAAGAGGGATATGACGCCAAGAGATTATTAATTTGTTTTACGAAACGAAGTAAAACAAGGGATCCTGTGGGGGTCTGAGCTACCTCTTGTTGGGTCAATAGTTGATTCATTCTGATAAAGCATTACTACATAATGTTTCAAATATGTATTCTTTCCTTTATAAAATTGCATAGGAAGTCTGCCAGAGTTTGGATCACGTTAATTAGAATCAACATCAGTAACATGTTTAGGCATAAAGTTCAGCATAAAAAAGGTGAAAATCAAATGGATTGCTACAACGTCTCGGGAATATAAAAAGTATTATATGCTTCGTGATGAAATCGAAGACCCACTTGATGAAAAATCAATATAATAAATAATATTTTATTTACAAAAATTCTAAATTTTTAGAATTTATAATAAAATAAAATATTATTAAATATTATGAGTTAAAATCTATAAAAAATCTATAAAATATCCATGAAAAATCCATAAAAATAAAGTTTCAGCTTTTGGTATTTTAATTATTAAAAACTAAATAGTTTCAGTTTTGTCATATGACTAAATATTTCAGTTTCATCCAGTATTATTATTACTTTAGGTCAGATATATATTGTAAAAATAAATATGAAATATGATATAGAATCTTTAGCATAAATTATTATTATTTAGTGATATAAGAATCAAATTAAATAATAATAAATATTATATATTATTTTAATCAAATTTTATTATAATCAAATATTTTAATTATATATAATTAATAATATAAATACTTTAATGATTTACAATCTTGGTGATTTTATCATGTATTATGATTCACACATAAGTAAAATATGTTATGATGGAATTATATCAATATTATATATAGATAATTTTCAAAATACTTGTGTTAAATTGAATATATCCTTGAATTTAGTTCATTATCTTCAATACTCAAGTCTAAGCAAAAAAATATTACTTCTCAAAATAGGTATCTTTAGATAATAGATAATATAATTATTATTAATCTTGTGAATATTAAATCTAAAATAAATGTATAGTTAATAGGTATTAATAAATTAATAAAATTGTATTTATGTAAATTACTAATAGATTACACAATTAATTAATTTATAACATCATCTTATTAAATATATTACTACTCATGATAATTCATGTAATTTACTAATATTCAAAATTTTTTTAGATATTTATATTGATAAATTTGATTCATTTTGCAATGCTTATCATGTAATTAGAGATATTTATCTACAGATTCAAAATATGAAGCAAGAGTTTTATCAAAAACTTAAAATCATTTTCATCTTAAATTCATTTCATTTATAATAACAACTAATGATATACTTTAATCATTTATTAATAATATTCAAAAACTTGAACAATATTATAAATTAAATATTAGTAATCAAATTATTTAAATTATTGGTAAACTAAGTATTATTATAAGTAAGCAGAAGTAAAAATCATAATACTTATCATAGATACTGTAATTACATAATTCACTATAATAATTTACATAATATTATTTTTGATTTTATAAAAAATAAATAATATTATTATAAGATTATATATTATACTATAGTTTAATGCTATAGGAAATGCTTAAACTCAAACTGAATAGGATTCTTTTATTACAAAATATGGTATCTAAAATTATTTATTTTGATAAAGTTATGCATAATCATTATTTTCAATACCTACATGATACTGTTAACGTACGATTTTGGTAGATCACTACAGTTAAACGAGGTGTTCGAGTGTTATTTCTTTTTAATGTACGCAGTAATCTACTGGTTTATTTCCTAAGTCCTGGACTTATAATTGGCATCACTCAGGTGTGTTAACGCTATATATTACC